TAACAATTACTTATATTGAGGGTTCGAGAATTATAAATTCAACTCTGCAGCTCAATCACCTCAGTTCTAGAGAGCATTTTAGCCTTTTTCAGCTCACAACTTTACTGTTTTGGTTCTCTCCGCTCTCACCTACCTTGTTCCCAGCAGACGCATAGTGTTTTTTTGAGCTAAAGAAGTTCTAATAAACCCACTGTAAACTTACTACCTGCTCAACACCAAACGACAACAACAAAGTTAGCTATTAGCTTGTTTCATGTATTCTACATGGAGCCAGGTCCTTCCAAATAAACAGTGTAGGGTGCCGCTTTTCACACTCTAGAAACATGCCAGCTATTTCGGACAGAAGCAAAGCAGCTAGTTTACTGAAAACACTGATCAACAGGCTGTCTGTGAACTCCCTAACCACAGCTAGCTTCTCTCTATAAATGTTGAGTTGAGATAAATTGTGTGTAAATAATCTTATTAGGTTTTATTTTGTCAATTTTATGACCATACATGTTTCTGAAATGATTTTAGGTGAGAAACAGACTAGGCATATCACATAGAACATCTGTAACATACAATCAGAGGTTGGAGTGTTGCGCTGGACGGACTCACTGAGAATGACTTGTCAATCACAAGGTAGCCAGGCCCTTAAGCATACCCTGTTCATTGTCAATTTTACTCTAAATGGGACCATAATTTACTAATTGAACATCATGCTGTATGGAAGAAGACTTGAGACTAGAGATGGAGACCATAAACTCATTAGGAAGCTGTTTACTGAGCTAATAAATCAAGTGAGAAGTAGGCTTATTTTGCCATTACAGTCCATACAATCAGACTAATGTTTGAAACCAACTGAGTCGCCCCCTGCTGGCCATTACATGGAATGCAGGTCTAAAGCACTGCTGCATTGGCTTCACTTTTCAGACCTGGAAGCTCTGTCCAATATTATATACTGTCAGTGGTTCAGCTGGGTTGTAGCTGCTTACTAACAGTTAGCAAACAAGCTAATGGGTCAATAAGTTCCCACCGTTCTTTCAGAATACTTTTTTGTGTAATTATCTATTGTTTATGGTGGCAATTCATCTTAAATTTATTTATTTTACCACAAAATGTAGCTTTTTTATTTGTTGCTGTGACCCTTAATGTTTTGAATTATTCATTATGTCTGGCTGCTTGTTTTCTCTGTTTCTCTCTGTTGTACTCAGGTCTCATTTGCAGAAGGTCTCTCAATTAAATAAAGGTCGTATTTGCATCCTTTTGCAAACATTTTGTTTCATGTGAAAGTTGCAACTTTGCATGGGCAACCACATGGACACAAAGCAAATGTTTTTGGCTTCTACCATTTCTTTTATAGTTGTTGCATTATTCTGCCTGTTGCCTCCTTGCCCTCCAGTAATCCACCATTATACTGAGATAAGGCAGAGGTAATGTTGAGATGTCAGATGGAGGGTGGTTCCACTGTGATGGATAGATTCATAAAGACCAGAGGCATCAATAGGTGCTGTCAAATCCTGGTTAAGAGGATCAGAACTGTTGTTAAGGTGACCACTGATCAAATAAGATTAGAGTTAGCTATTACTGTATGGATTCATTTTTATGATGGAAAATACAGTCAGCTGTTGCGTGAAGGAGATCAATGTTTTGTAAATGTGAACAAATAGATATTTTTGATGTATGATTTTGTTTGCACTGTTTTTGTGCTTGTGTACTGTGGACAGTATGGGATACTTGAGAGATTACAAACAAACCCACCAAATCAAATGGGAGCCATAATCCCAGATAATCCTATAGAAACCTCTGCCTCTCCAACAGCAGTCAGTCATCTGGCTAGCTAGCTTCATCAGTTGCATCACTATGAAGCAACGAACTGACCACTGAAAGAGGAACAACAGTTTAAAACTACAGCTCCTAGTGTAAGGATGCGGGATTTTAACAGTGAAATCAACCTTTCCCCCCCATATGCATTCATTATATGATCATAGAAGGAGCCATTGCATGTAGACCCAATTTGGTCAGATACTTGTTCCCGTATAGCACAGTCAACTAATTGATGCCTTTATGTTGAAAAAAATTTGGGATGAACCCAGGATGCATCGTTTCAATATATTTGCATTCACAAACTAATTTATTTATACATATAATTATTACTAGAGGCCTTATGCTTTTATCATTTAGAAATGTGACCAGTAATGTTATATTAAGACTGATTCCTCTTCACTAAATTGTTTCTGAAGCTGCTTAAGAAGAACCAAAGAAATAAAATCAAACTGTCTGTACCATATTGAATTACCTAGCATAATTTTCTTTGCATCGCATTTTGTTGAATCAAATTTTGTCCAATTGAACTGCATTAGAATAGAGTTAACTTTTATCTCTTTGGTAGCTTCTTTATATGTATCTTCAGTGTATTACATTGTTAGCAATGCACTGAGGTTCATATCGCATTGGCCTTAGTGATGGAGATGCACCTCTAATGTTTAGACTCAATTGCAAGTACAGAAGTATTTCAGCAACTTTTTTAGCATCTTCCTTAATGACAGTCTGTGATGTCTCTAAACCCTGCATCACAGCTGCAACGTACTTATTCCTATCATGGTTTTGATTATATACTACAATTATACTGAAAAAAAGAGAAAGAGGAATTTCAGTATGCATAAGATACTTTTAATTTTTGAGTGTGGTGTTGATTGGTCCGTAATGCACTACACAACAGACTGCGCTACGCAGCTGGAAAGAAATAAAAACATTCCAGATGTTATTTCAAACAGAACAAGTGACAAGTGCTTGGGGTAGCATTTTAGCTTCCTGTTTGTGAAGCACTCAGATTTTTATTTGTGCTAGAAGTCACAGTGCGAATGATGTATTGATGCATGCCATGTTACCATTACAACAAAATCATTACTTCTACACAAACTGCCAACATATTACACTATCCTGGCAACAGATCCTGACACTTACAGTACAACATTACAACCTTTCTCTTCATCTAGCTTTTTTAACAGATTTGCACTTTTTTTTGTACATAACATAACTAGACTAAGTCTACTATACACACTACTGGCCCATACTATACATATAGTTACAATATATCACTCACTCTGTCCATTTTGCATCTTGATTCATTCTTCAGTTTGAACATACCACAGTATCCCTTCACACCTTACTACTCTGTTGGTTTATTGTTCATTATTCATTCATCTTTATAACTACTGTATATGCAGCTTCCATGCCAACTGCATTTCATTGTACTGATTCTTACTGTGTGCAATGACAACAAAGTTTAATCTAATCCTATCAATATTAGTCCACTGAGAACACTGCTTTAGCTCACAATATGGAAATCTGAGGGATGTGAATACTTATGCTCACAGATAACTATGGTCCATACTCAGCCTGGCTGAAACACAGGGCCAGAGTGCATTATGTAAAGTGCCAGTGAATAATGTAGTACTTTACTGGTAACTGTCTCCCATTAAACATCAAGTTGCTTGAAACAGGCAGGACTTTAAGCCAGGTCATGATTTATGGTGCAGATGGTGAGCTATCAATGAATGTTCAATTAATATAATATCATTTTGAAAGGGTTATTTATTTTTGTATTAGTTTGTGTGGAGGTGATGTGGGTGTTAAAAAATGTCGTTTTTTATTTTTATGTTATATGATTTGGTCAGTCTTTTAACCTTGGCTCCATGGATATACATGTTCTCATTTTAAAGGACCGGTGTGAAGGATTCAGTGGCATCTTGTAGTGAAGTTGCAAATTGCAACCATTTGAATACAGCTCAGATTTCCAAGCGTGTAGGAGGAAGTATGTGGCCTTGGAACTTGACATATAGATCTAGAGCAAGTGTGTGGTTTGTCCATTCTGGACATTCACGGTCAACATGACTCTGTTGAAGAGGACCCATTCCCTCTGTAGATACAAACAGCTCATTCTAAGGTAACAAAAACACAGTTCTTATTTTTAGCTGATTATACACTAATAAAAACACACCTATGAATATTACATTCCATTTCTTTCAATACAGCCCGATAAATGTTACAAAATGGACCTTTAACATGTTATTTCTAGGATTTACTGTAATGTGTTTTACAAATCCATAAAGTTAGTGTCTCATATTTACGGCAGCACGTGAATGCAGCAGCTGCAGATTCCGGGGGAAAAAGGCTCTTTTTTTGCTCGCTGCTCCTGATTGGCTGAGCCGTCTGAGGAGGGGGCGGGGCTTGCGTCTGAGTCCTGGCACCAGTCTGCTCCGCAAGCAGTGAAAGGTGGAGAGATTTTCACCATCACACACTCTTGACAGTCACACACGCGCGAGCACACACACACACTCCGCGAAAGAAACGGGACACGTCGAAGCGGTGAGTACAGTCGCATATTTCACTATTTACATCCGACTTACGAGGTGTCAGCGCGCGACTATCGCTGTTTGCTGCGTCCTCGCGCTGCGCCATCCTCTCGCGCGCTGAATGAATGATGAAATTCATGTTATATTTATGGCGTTATTTAGGTCTCGCGCTGCGGTGGCGTGGATGCGGGCCTATATTTAGCTTCTTATATGGCGGCCCGGCAGTTGTACATTGTTGTGCTCGGTGTTTCCCATCACAATGGGAGAGGAGAGTGGGCGTGTGAGGTGAGGGGGGACCTCTGTCTCTCATGCGGAGGTCCGTGGATTCGTGTCTCTTTGTTATGGTGGTGCCGCAGTCGGGATGGTACACCCCTCCTGCTGAGAAAAGCACCAGGCTATAGTACTCCAAAAAATACTCCTCTAATGAGCTCATACGGCTCCTCTCGAGCCATTAATGAGTGTATGTTGGCCTCATTGCCTCTAATGCTGTTTCACACGTTACCTCTTCAAGCTTAATATTCCCATACGGGACTACAGTAACCTATAGACTGTGAATGTGTGTGTGTGTGT